ATTTTCATCATTCTGCCGATTATTTAGAATATTATCTTTATTTTTTTGTTTGTAGTATTTCATTAGTATCCAGCATCCGGTTTAATGTCACTGTGGAAATCAACTCTGTATGTTGTCTGTCAGTTTAAATGTCACTACTCCTTTCGAGATCTGTATGTAAAATGTCTCTGTATATAGGTAACTACAGGATTAAAGAAAGTGGGGAAGTGGAAATCAGCTTTGCCAATGTTTTTGTTTTTTTTTCCTAAAAGTCGGGGGTATTCATCGTGTTGATAACTGCATTGACTATTTATGCTGAATGGGAGGTTGGATAAAGTGTGTTTGCAAATAGACACTGTTGTATATATATATATATATATATATATATATATATATATATATATATATATATATAAAAGAAAAAAATCTTGGTAATCCGTATGGATAATCCCAAGGAGGATGAAATCCGAGAGCTCAATGTTAAGTCAGAGAGAATAATTTAATTTAATGAAAAACGAATCACTTTAACGTTCCATTGTTATAATTTATTTCACTAGAGATTTTATTTTTCTCTGGATCTTCAGACTACACTTTCAAGCGTGAAAAATGAATTCAAAATTTACACTTTTGAAGGACAGTATTAAGCATATAAGGTGACATAGAGGGTGCTGAAGAATAGTGTGAGAGACATGGTCAAAATTAGAGAGGGAAGGCAGAGTTTTAAAATTTATTTTTATTTTTATTACAATAATTAATATTGAGAAAGAGTGGGTAAGGATCAGGTATTGATCTATTTAATCGGTCAACTCACCGGAAATGATATGGGGGAAAAGAAAAAAGAGGGGAAGTAAAGTGGCCTGTCTTTTCCTTAAATTTTATATTTATATAAAAAGCTAAAAACGAGGCTACCCCACAACAGTAATAAACAAAGGTTTTAAACTCGCAAAAAATTCCTTTAGACCAAATACGAAATCCAAAAAAAAATGTAACATCAAACAAAGTCTAGCATATGTTTCAAAATACAAGAACAATCCAGAACTATTTACAGAAATTACAAAAAATCTAGACCTACTTATGACAAATTGAAAATTATACCCAAAAACAAACCAAAATAATTAAAAGTAAACGCCAATTTAAAAACCTGAAACACATATTAAACTCATCCAATTTTAAACAACACACAATACATTGAACCACAAAATGCAACAAAAATATGTGGTGTTTGTGACATCATTATGGAAGAAAACCCCTACACTTTTGAAAGCCCCAAAACGATATTGATAATAAATAAAAATTTAAACTGCAACTCCAAAAATGTGATTTATGCACTCAAATGCACAAAATACAAGATGTCATATGTAAGTATCAGCCAACAACTAAACAACAGGGATTCCTTTTACAAAAGCAACATAAAATTACCAGACAACAGAAAAGTTTTTGTATCACAACACATCTATAAATGTAACCAGGGAAAATTTAAAATTATGACAATATATCAGACAATTATTCTTACCTACAAATACAAGAAAATCTTCATAAACAAATTTAAACCAGAACTAAATAGATCATAACCCCACACGCAAAAGCCCACAGCATGCATACATAATGGTCAAATACAGTGGACAAACCACTTGCATCCATGCACATACACTCACACGCGGGTATATATGGAGCACGAATATGTATACATATATTGGCAAAAGCAATAGACTGCTCACAGGCATGCCCGCAAACCCTACACAACATAGAAAATGTGTACGTGTCAGTGTATGAATGTATATGTGTGTGTATGTATGAAGGTGTGTATATGTGTGTATACTAATTCCTTATAATAAGACAGCATGTATGTATGAAGAGGCTATGGGCGTATACATACGAATTATATATATATATATATATATATATATATATATATATATATATATATATATATATATATATGCACATATTGACAAAAACAAGACAGCTCACAGGCACACACTGGAACCGTATACAACAAAGGTAGTGTATATGTGTGCGTATAGGTGTATGTATGTGTTTATGTATGTGTATACTAATTTCTTATCATTAGACATTATTATGTATGTATGGAGAGGGAATATACGTATACATACGCATGCTGACAAAAACAAAAAATGACAATAGATCTAAGAACACACAGTGGTCATTAAAAGATGAGAATACAGATATCTTTCCTCACCCTTTCTCGGAACAATCTTAATTGTTTTATTACCCTTCATGCAAAAGAACTTTCTCACTGCCAGTTCAAGGAAGACATTTATCACTAACACAAAAAGAGAATGTTTAACATCGAGAATGTTTGTGATCGAAAAACATAAGAAAAATTAATTCCTTTTAATAATATGTGGAAATATCCACTCTTTGCCTGATATATATATATATATATATATATATATATAGCTTTAAACAGAACTGATTTAAATATCTTAATACTAAAAAAGAGGCGAAAATATCTTAGGAACCTTTTGGAAAGCCCTTCATCAGAGAAAAAGATACTTGGCGAAACAATTATTATTCTTTAACAGAAATAAGGAAATGTAATTTTAAGGGACTAAATGGGAGAAACAAAAACTGGCGCGCGATTAAAATATAAAATCTTAATCAAAGTTTGAAAATCAATTCAATTCATAAAATTACAAACGAATACAATTGATAAACAAACCTAGAAAAAGCAGCAAAAGTGGGTAATTTCTTCTCTTGATCTATTTTTATATTTGAACCAAGTGCCAGGTTTTTTTTTTGTTTTTGTTTTTCATTTAATCCGTTAAAGTGTATTTCGTTGTTCCGGTTAAAAAAAGTAATTGTTTTGTCAACGGTTTGTCGCTTGAAGTTTTGGCCGAAAGTTTCCAGAGATTTTTCCCCACTAACTTTAAATATTAAGATGTTTGCATCAGATCTTTTTAAAAAGATAATTACATTTTATAATATATTATTCAGTCGTTTTAGCTATCATTTAATTTTGGATATTTTTCTTGCGTTGGTGGCTGTTGTTTCGGTATTAAAGTAATAATGTTTGGTATTAAAGTAATAATTTTAATGCATTAAATTATTTAAGCGTTTTTGATATAAAAGCAATAATTTTAAAATATTAAAGTAATCATTTTTGGAAATAAAATAATAATTTTAAAGTAGTAGATATTGGGATTAAAGTAATAATTTTACAGAATTAAATTAATATTTTTTTTATATTAAATAATAATTTTTAAGTATTAAAGTAATCATTTTGGTATTAAAGTAATAATTTTAAAGCATTAAAATAATAATTTTGACTATTAAAATAATAGCTCTGCAGAAGAAGCTGTCCTCGAGGAACTTCCTTCGTGAAATATGAAGGGAATGAGGATGAGTTAACCATATGGACATCACATGGCACGTCCTAGATTTGAAATCTGAACTGGTGAACATCAGCAATGTATTTCATCTGGACATTTATCTTGAAATTACCGATCGAGTAGCGACAAAATTCTTTCCCTCTCTTCAATTTTCTTTTTACATGTCTTCTTTATTTTCTTTTCCTGTCTCTCTTCTGTGTATTTTCAGAATATTTCAAATATTTTCTTTACGCCCGTCTCTCTCTCTCTCTCTCTCTCTCTCTCTATTTCACTACCTCTTGCTCTATCTAAGCCAACTCCTCACTCTCCTTCTGATTATCTCCCCTTCTAAATGCTTTCCTCTTCTGTTTCCCTCTTCATATGTCAACAAGTAGCACCTCTCCCACACTTCATTTTCTATCCTTTCTCTTTATATATATCTCGACCAAATACGTTCCCCCCTCTTTCTCTTATTTTCTATTCCTTTTTCTCACTCTCCTTGAGTGTGTTACTTTTTAAATGATTTTTTTTTCTCCACTTTTCTTTTCCCTTCCTTATATCTCAACCAATATATCTTCGTGACCGGACATTTGGCCGACGGACATTTCACCAAAAATGTACAAGTAAAAATAGTAAGCAATACTTTAAGTATTTTAATTAGCAGTATTATAAGGTAGAATAGAACTAATAATTAACACTGAATTTCTAAATTTAATTTAAATGTTTTCTTATTTTAATATTCGTTTATTGAAATTCGTGTTTTTTTTAAATATTTGAGTGTATTTGGTTAAAAAGTATCACCTAATTATTTAAATTCGTATTTAACAGTAAGATAAAAGCTAGTTCATCACTTTAAGATAATGATCATTAAAATCGAAATTGAAACATCTTTCATATCGTAAAAGCTAAAGATTTTTGCTTTAGTAAAATGTGCTTTTTCTCAAAATACTAATTATCTTATAGTAATAATTGAAGTAAAATATAATATATACAGAATATCTATTCTGTATATATTATATTTTAAAAAGCCTGGAAAAAACGAAAAATTCTAAATTAATAGAGTAAATAAGTATAAATATATGTAGCACATTACGATAAAGAGTGTGACCTAGATGTAAGTAAGCCACTATATTTTGGCTAAGTGTCCATTCGGTTAAATGTCCATTCATTTAAATGTCCGTCGGCCAAATGTCCGAGTACCATATCTTTTTACCCCTCTCTCGTTCTTCGCAACTTCCTCCCGGTCTCTGATATTGATTTTCGATTCTTCGTTCTTCTGGAACCGTTTCGCGATAAGAACGGTGGTTCCTGTTTATCCTGTTTACTATTCTTAGGGTCTTATACTTAAAGAGCGGCAACAAAGCCATTAGGCTATACACTTCGGAATAGAAATTGTAACTAGCAGACGGTCGAAAAATTCGGGCCACATAAACACAATAGATCCAGAAAATGTGAAAAGTATCTAATCTCGGAGTATCCATCGATTTCTTAGTCAATTTGTTCGTTATTTTACTAATAGTGAGTCTGTTCATTGTCATTTGCCAAAATCATATTTGTTTAGTTGCTCAGGACGAATTGTAATCGAACACATTATAGGGAGGATTTTCTTTCTGCTTTGACATTGTTCAGATTCGAACAGTTAACTACAGGAGATAAATAAAAAATGATTACATGCGTTTTTGCAACTGCATGTATTTTCATATATCTGTAAAACTTCCTTCCTCTCTCTCTCTCTCTCTCTCTCTCTCTCTCTCTCTCTCTCTCTCTTTTTCTAGTGCGCGCTTTCTCTCTCACTCATATACACACCTAGACATATATTATTTAGATTTCAATTACCATGAATCTAACAGTTCCGGTTCGCCCACCGAAGTTAAGCAACGTCGAACTTAGTACTTAGCTGGGGGTACAGCGTGAGAACAGCCGATACTGTAAGCAATGTCATATGATCGTGATATGTTTCAGTCACTAACCATCGCGCCACTATTTCTTGTTATTGGATCAAGGCTGTCTGTTATTGAGAGACCGCATAGTTAGTAGCAAGCTATGAATTACTATATACAATTGCGCGGGGGGCAACAGACTTTCGCTTGTTATGGCGTAACCACGTCACCCGTCTGTTTTGTAGACGTCCTGTTTTTACCGAGCGTACAGAAATAAAAAGATAAGATCAAAGAACTCACTCCATCCCCTTTCTCTGACCAATCCTCATTGTTTTATAATCTCTTCAACAAATGAACATGGATTACTACCACACACAAAAGAGAGTGGTTAAACATAAGAAAAAATATTTAAAAATTCCTTTAAATAATATGTGGAAATAATCATTCTTCGGCTGATGAAGATCACAAGACCCGAAACAGTTGTAGCAAAAACATGGAAAATAATGTATAATATATATTAGAATACACATTATAACCGAAAATATTTCTCTTTAAAATATACAATTTTCTCTCGTTGGAACAGCTATAATCTCACTCATATATATATATATATATATATATATATATATATATATATATATATATATATATATATATATATTATCCCTCGCGGATAGCACCACTCGAGTCTCATACACAACACAATCGCCAGGTGCTGAGTATAGACTGACCGTTATGTAATTTAAATTTTAATAAAAAACATCTGGTTATCGCAATGTTGGCACAGTTAAATATTATACTGGGATTACATTTTTTTTTTAATTTTAAAAAATATATTTGGTATTTAAATGAACGGGATTTATATATATATATATATATATATATATATATATATATATATATATATATATATATATGACATATTTTATAGTTGTGAATATTAATTTTTATTGAGCATAAAGGAAGATTACTTGTTCTTTTTCAAAAAAATCAAACCATAATTTATATTGAAAATTAATCTGGATCAACGTATCTGAGTAGATACTTATTTTTATGCCTACAGGTAACTATCAATTCATTTCTCTTGTTTAATAAGCTCAGGTTATTTAATTGTTTTAAGATAACTAATTTTTCAGCAAGACTTAAATTACCACTATTGCCTTTCCCATTGTAAGATTAGAATGGGAAAGACAATAGATGTAATGTATGTCTTATGTACCTTAAAACACTTAAATAAGACTCCAAATGTAACTAGTAGCAATCTCACATAAAAATGGATAAAATTTGGTGCCGTAGTATTATCAAGAAACCGCGGGAAAAGGTTTAAACCCCCAAGGGCATTCATGATGACATATTTGTTATATTAGGTGATGACGCCTCAGCATTATCAACAGTTCAAAAGTGGGAAGCCGAAGTTAGGAGGATTAAGGAAAAGTCTTGAAGATTACCAAAATTGTGTACGTACTGCAACTGCCACCACCGAGGAAAACATTGCTGGTGTTTTCCACATGGTGATAGATGACAGGCGATTGGTTATAAATCAAATATCCAATGCTATTAGCATATCCCGCTAGAGAATATTCTGAACAATGTTATTGGCCTGACGAAAGTTTCTGCTCGTGAGATGCCATGTCTTCTGACACCTGACCAAAAGCAGATCCAGATGGCTTATTTGCATGTTTCCTAACATAAGCGTTCGGTACATCATTTTGAGCCAGAAACAAAGAGACGATATTTGCCGTGCAAACACCCCACCTCATTTGATCCAAAGAAGCCCAAGGTCGTTTCATCTGCAATGAACTCGGTTTTTTTTGGATGCAAAAGGCATTGTGCTTATTGATCATCTTCAAGGGTCTCATTCCATCCATGCCAACATGCTGAGGCAGTTACGAAAGGCTATCAAGATCAAACGCCCTGAAAAACTAAAGGGGGTTTTGTTTCATCAGGACACTGCTCTAGAAGACAAGTCTTTGGTTTGGTTGCTGTGCGTGACTATAGCTTTGAACTGGTTGATCGCTCTCCCTCTTCTGATTTGGCTCTATCTGACTATCATCTGTTCGCCAACATGAAAAATCACTTGGCTTTGAACCAGTATCAGAGGGCAGATGATATCATATCTGCTACTGATAACTCTAAATAGTCAGATGTCAGTTTACAATGCAGTTATTAAGAAGAAGAGTAGAAATTAATGCATGTAAGATATCACCGTTATAACACCACAACTTTATAGTCTGGCATTGAAGTTTTCATCCCACCTGTGTAATTCCTTATCCATTTCATCTGCAAGGAAGGTTTTGGATTCAGTTTTTGGGCATTGTGATTATTGACCTCAAAATGGCCACACCATTAATGAATACCATGCCGACTTGGTGAGGCAGTTACATAAGTCTATCAAGACCAAACGCCCGGGAAAATTGCCGAAAGTGGTCTTGTTTCACCAGGACAATACTCCAGAACACACGTCCCTGGTTTCAATGGCTGCTGTGCCTGAATATGGATTTAAACTGGTTGATCACCCCAAACAGTTCTTTTGTACTGACTATCATCTGTTCCCCAACATGAAAAGAAACGCTTGTCTAGAACCAGTATCGCATTAATGGTACTGTCGTATCTGCAGTTGATGACTATTTAACCGAAAGGATGAACAGTTCTCTTTGAATAGTCAGATGTTAGTTTATCTGGAAAGAAACAATTCAGTTGCTAATAAGAAGAGTTGAAATTAATGCATGCAAGATTTCATAGCTCTATAATCACTCGTTCATACTCAGCCGATGAACCTTTCAGCCCACCCGCGACAAATGGAAAGAAACAATTTAGTTGTTAATAAGAAGAGTTGAAATTAATGCATGAAAGATTTCATAGCTCTATAATCGCTCGTTCATAGTCAGCCTATGAACTTTTCAGCCCACCCGCGACAAATGGAAAGAAACAATTCAGTTGCTAATAAGTAGAGTTGAAATTAATGCATGCAAGATTTCATAGCTCTAGAATCACACCTTCATAGTCAGCCTATGAACTTTTCAGCCCACCCTCGCAAAGGAAACAAACAATTCAGTTGCTAATAAGAAGAGTTGAAATTAATGCATGCAAGACTTCACATTCTAGCATCACACCTTCATAGTCAGCCTATAAAATTTTCAGCCCATCCTTTCATTTGTATTTTATATAAAACAGATAATGATTGTAGAAAATCGTGCTCTATATATGGACTATTCAAGAATTTATTTGTCCAGCTTTCATTAACTTTTCGACTGGTTATTTAAAATATAAATGAATGGCATCGCTTTTACACTTGTAACGCAAAATTTTCGACGTATTTCTAATACATGTATTTTAATTTACAAATATCTGCATACAGGAATAAATGTAAGAGCTTCTTCAGAACATTCTTAATCAGAAAAATATGATTTTAAGAGGTAATGTAATTTTAAGTTTAAGTCTGACAATTATGTACATAGATAATTGATTCGATTTTACGGATTATCAACCCATTGCAGGTTAGTTAATGATAGAAAATATTTTTAGATATTAAGAATTGTTTTTAGATAAAAATCGTTTAGGGATACAATATTTATCAATAACCCATAGCTGGGGATAAGTAGTGGATCCATAACGTTTCCAAGGTATTTCTTCGTGAGTTAAGCAGCGTCGAATCTGGCCAGTGCCACTTGAGAATACCAGGTGCTGTCAACTTGGATGTGTGAGTGGTGTAATCGTTAATGTCTCGGAATTGTTAAGCAGAGAGCTGTGTTTCAATTTCAATTGGGTTGGTTACATTCACTTACGCGCAAATACTTTTGGGAAAAGCTATGATTTCAGCTCTTCTTTACCAAACTATGTGTTAATTAGTAAGACGTGTATGACTAAATCATTATTATCTTCCAAAGAAATTCATACAGTCTAAAAAAAAACATATTTTCTGACTTTAAATAACATGAAAAAGGTGAATAAGTCGTAGATAACGAATCAATGGAATCAAATAACTTAATTTCCCAAGTAAAGGGTGTTCCAAAAAACTTGGACTGATTTTAAATGTGAATTAAGTTTAAACGTCTAATGACTTTTTTCTTTTTCTTTCACACTTGGCGGACATTTGGGTGATATTATTTTTCACAGATAATTGACATGACTTAAATAACATGATCCGATCGAGAAATAAATATACTATCTACATTATTCCCACTATTGTCCTCATCTTTGCCGCCATATTTATTACAATGTTTCAAGGACACATGGCACAGTGGATCAAGTCGTTAGTTTGATCCAGTGACAGAGCCCAAAGAGCGTGAGTTCAATACCCGGTTAAGCCAGTGGAGAATTTGGAGAGGGGAATTAACAGGAGATAACTGACAACTGACATCGATTAAAACATGGCACGTGGAACTAGAACAGTCTACCCCAGTGAGCGAAATAAAGGGTTCAGTTCGACATCCCAACCACCTGAAGAAGACCGGAACGTACACCGACCGAAACGTCGTAATAAATATGGCAACTAAGATGATTACAATAATCTGAATAATGTAAATAGTTTACATAATACATCATCTCAGAAATATGGACAGATAGAGAAATAAATACATTTTCACCAATAACACTGATTTATTTACTGCTCATTTTGATCCGTCTCAATGAAAGACCCTTATATATAATCCGTCTTAATCCTAGAAGTCATACTAGTCTTAATGAAAGACTCTTTATAATACGCATTTTTAAAAAAAAAAAAGAAGAAACAACCGTCCCACTTTCCTTCTTTCGTTCTTTTTTCGTTTTCTTTGTGATTTTATTCGCATCTGTTATCTTTTCTATTGTTTATATATATATATATATATATATATATATATATAGATAGATAGATAGATAGATAGATATAGATAGATATTAAAAACACAGAATATATTGGGTTGGTGCATAATTATCAGGAGCTTTTGTAGGCGAGATATTTCTTAATAAAAATTGCTGTTTTCTTTAATTTTTTGACAAAAATATTATTTTACTTTCAGGTTATAAAAAAGCGTATCAATAATCATACTCATTTAAAATTCTTATTGTGGAATTGTTTTTTTTTTTTTTTCCTAATAGATATTGTTTAAAAACGCCTGATGATTATACATCAAGCCAATATATATATATATATATATATATATATATATATATATATATATATATATATATATATATGTAGCCTATATATATATATGTGTGTGTTTGTATATATATATATATATATATATATATATATATATATATATATATATATATATATATATATATATATATATATAGCCTTTTTTCTTTTCTATCTTTTACCGACTTTTTGCTTTTATAATTTCTGTTTTTCCACTCCCTTTCATTGATTTTTTCTCTTTTTCTCTTGTCATTTCTCTTAAACCTTCTTTTTACCATCTTTTTTTTATTCCTATTCTTTTCGTCTGCCTTCTTTCACATTTTCTTTATCTTTGCCGTTTCACTTTACCATTTTATTCTTTTCTTCTTTCAATATTTTCTCCTCCTTTTCTGTATTCGTCGCTAATCTCTCACTCTCTTCTTTTCATATCATGCTATTTATTCTCTTTCTTTATTTTTCCCCCTTTTCTTTTGCTACGTTTTTTTCTCTCTATTTCCGTCCTTTTTCTTTTCCTTCCCCTTCATCTCTCTCTTTCACTTATTGTTCCCCGTCAAATTCTGTTATTTCTTTTCTTTCTTCTTTTCCGTTTTTGCCTTTCTTCTTTCTCTCCTTTTTATTCTATTTTTTTTTATTTTGTTCATAAGTCATATCATTCCCTATATAATTCCCGTGTCAGATGA